TCTCTACTCCTTTATATTGTCTAAGAGTTGCCCTGTGACATAATATATGATCTATTTTTGAGAAGGATCCATGTGCTGCTGAGAAAAAAGTGTAACTGCTTGATGTTGGGTGGTATACTCTATATATGTCAATTAGGTCTAGGTTATTAATAGTGTTATTGAGTTCTATAGTTTCCTTATTCAACTTTTGTTTGGAAGATCTGTCCAGTGGCGAGAGAGGTGTGTTGAAGTCTCCCATGATTATGGTGTGGTGGTCTATTAGACTCTTGAACTTGAAAAGAGTTTGTTTGACGAACATAGCTGCACCATTGTTTGGGGCATAAATATTTATGATTGTTATGTCTTGTTGGTGTATGGTTCCCTTAAGCAGTATGTAGTGTCCCTCTTTATCTCTTTTGATTAACTTTGGCTTGAAATCTATTTTATTTGATATGAGTATGGACACGCCTGCTTGTTTCCGAAGTCCATATGAGTGATATGATTTTTCCCAACCTTTCACCTTCAGCCTATGTATGTCTTTTCCTATCAAATGCGTCTCCTGTAGGCAGCATATTGTTGGGTCTTGTTTTGTGATCCATTCTACTAGCCTGTGTCTCTTAATTGGTGAGTTTAAGCCATTAACATTTAGGGTTATTATTGAGATATGGGTTGTTCTTCCAGCCATATTTGTTTATTTCTGTTACTAAACATTGTTTGTTTTCCTCTTTGATTGTTCCCCCCCCTCTTTACTGTCCTACCTCCCACTGTTGGTTTTCATTGTTATTTTCCATTTCCTCTTCCTGTAATACTTTGGCTAGGATGTTTTGAAGAGATGGTTTTCTAGCTGCGAATTCTTTAAACTTTTGTTTATCGTGGAAGGTTTTAATTTCATTCTCCATCCTGAAGCTTAATTTCGCTGGATACACAATTCTTGGTTGGAACCCATTATCTTTCAGTGTTTGAAATATGTTATTCCAGGATCTTCTAGCTTTCAGAGTCTGTGTTGAAAGATCAGCTGTTATCCTGATTGGCTTGCCCCTAAATGTAATCTGCTTCCTTTCTCTTGTAGCTTTTAAAATTCTCTCCTTATTCTGTATGTTGGGCATCTTCATTATAATGTGTCTAGGTGTGGATCTCTTATGATTTTGCACATTCGGCGTCCTGTAGGCTTCTAGGATTTGGGATTCTGTCTCATTCTTCAAGTCTGGGAAGTTTTCTTGTATTATTTCATGGAATAGACTGCTCATTCCTTTGGTTTGGAGCTCTGTACCTTCCTGTATCCCAATGACTCTTAAGTTTGGTCTCTTAATGTTATCCCATATTTCTTGGATGTTCTGCTCATGGTTTCTTAACAGTCTTGCTGAGCTGTCTATGTTCTTTTCCAGTTGAAATACTTTGTCTTCATTGTCTGATGTTCTATCTTCTAAGTGTTCTACTCTGTTGGTAGTATTCTCCATTGAGTTTTTAAGTTGGTTTATTGCTTCCTGCATTTCTAGGATTTCTGATTGCTTGTTTTTTATAACCTCTATCTCCCTGTATAGTTGATCCTTTGCTTCCTGGATTTGTTTGCGTAATTCGTTGTCGAAGTGATCTTTCATTGTCTGATTTTGCTGTTTAATGTCTTCCTTGATACTCCAGATCATCTGAAGCATGTATATCCTGAATTCTTTATCTGACATTCCATCTGCTGCAGCTGTTACCTCTTCTAAAGTTGCGTTGACCTGCATTGCTTGTGGTCCTTTCTTTCCTTGTCTTTTCATACTGCTTGCGTATCTTTCCTGCAGGTGCGGGCGGCGGCTCTGCTCTCTCCTTATTCCAATTGGGGTGTCGTGGCTACCACGCCGGCAGGTCACTGGGCCTGTTCTGGGAGCTGGTGGCGGCTCTGTTCTGCCCCTACTCCAATTGGGGTGACGTGTCTGTCGTACCAGCAGGCCACTGGGCCTGTCCTGCTGGTCGGTCGCAGATCTGCCCACCTTTCGGGCACAAGTGGAGGCTCTGCTTTGCCCCTACTCCAATTGGGGTGTCGTGACTACCCCGCCTGCAGGATGCTGGGTCTGTTCCTGGCAAGGGAGGCGACTCTGCTCTGTCACTACTCCAATTAGGGTGGTGTTTGTACCCCGCCGGCAGGGTCCTGGGCCTGATCCGCCGGTCTGTTGTAGGTCTGCCTACCTTGAAGGCGCGGGCGGCGGATCTGCCCTGCCCCTCCTACCACGCCTGCGGACCCCTGGGCCTGATCTGCAGGTTGATCACTGGTCTGCTCACCCTGCGGGCACGGGTGGCGGTTCCGCTCCACCCCCACTCCAATTGGGGTCACGTGACCACCACACCGGCAGGGCCTGATCCGGGCGGGGGATAAGGATCTGCTCTGCCCCTACTCGAGTTGGGGTGACGTGTGTACCACACTGGCAGGCCACTGGGCCTGACCCGCCAGGCTGTCACAGGTCTGTTTACCTTGCAAGCGCGAAGGGCGGCTCTGCCCTGCCCCTCCTACCACGCCCATGTACTACTGGGTCGTGGGTCTGCCCACCTGGCGGGTGTGGGTGGCAGCTCCGCTCCGCCCCCTCTCCAATTGGGGTCACGCGGTCACCACGCTGGCGAGCCGCTGGGCCTGCTCCGGGGGCTGGCGGCGGCCCGGCTCCTTCCCTCTGGCTCGAGGACAAATTGAGGAGACTCGGGTGACTGAGCCTCACCCCCCTTACCAGAAGACCAACTGCTTATGTCACCGCTGGTATTGATGAAGATCTCTCCTCCACCGCTTTCTGCTGACATCAGATCTCTGCCATGTTGGTATCCTATGCGAATGGCAGCATTTCGTTCCCCTTGCCAGGCAACCCAAGCAATGGGTGAGTCCTGACCTGCCCTCAGCAGGACCCGGACCGAGACACAGTTTCCGCGGGCTCCTAGCCCCGGTCCAGGGAAGTTCCGGGAGCCGGAACTCGGCCGCTCCGTGCTCGGTGTAAGCTCCTATAAGTGTAGGCTCCAAGAAGCAGCCCCCGCGGGCTCAGTTCCGGGAGCCGGAATTCGGCCGCTTAGTGTTTGGTGTATGCTCTGATAGTAGCTGGGTCCAAGAAGCAGCCTCCGCGGGCTCCGCAGCCCTGAGCCAGGGCGGTTCCGGGACGGTTCCGGGAGCCGGAACTCGGCCGCTCTATGCTCGGTGTAAGCTCCTATAAGTGTAAGCTCCAAGAAGCAGTCCCCGCGGGCTCAGTTCCGGGAGCTGGAATTCGGCTTCTTGGTGTTTCGTGTTTGCTCTGATATTAGCCTAGTGTGACTTTAAACACAATGTGATATATTTCATGTTTTCTACCTAATTATGAGATGAAATGTTTTCCCAGGTCTTCAGGGTTTCAGGCATGCAATGTGTTGTGGTTTGGATATGAAGTATCCTCCAAAAGGCTATATGTTGGAAACATGATATTCAGTGTAGCAATGTTCAGAAGTGAAATGATTAATTAGCTTGTGAGAGATATAGGCTCATTAGTGGGTTAATCCATTTGACGGATTAATAATTTGAATGGATGACTAGATGGCAACTGTAGGAAGGTGGGATGTGATTGGAGGAAGTAGGTCACTGGGGGTATACCTTTGAACTTTATATTGTCCCTAGCTCCTCTCTTATGCTCTGCTGAGAAGCTTTCTCCCACCAGGATGTTCTGCCTCACCTCAGGCTGAGAGCAACTGGACTCAAATGTTGGCCAATCATGAACTGAATCTCTGAAACTGTGAGCCCAAAATAAATTTTTCCTCCTCTAAGTTGTTCTTGTCAGTTATTTTGGTCACAGTGTCAACAGACTGAATAATGTGATGTATGTGAAGTGGCAGAGTTGGATGAACATTCTGCCCACTGAGTTCACACATGTACTTCTTACTTGTTGGTGGGCCACAGCTATTGCCTCAGAAGACTATCTCTGGAAACATGAGGGACCAAGTCCACCAAGTGGTTGGGGTAAGATTGCCACTAAAGCTGGGATTGTGCCAGCCAGCACCATAGTCCTGGCTGTATAAGTCAATTTTGTGTTACTATTCAAAATATCTGAAGCACCTCACTTACAAAGAGAAAAGTTTTATTTAGCTCACAATTTTGGAGGTTCAAAGTCCAAGATTGGGGGCACCAATTGGTTTGGCCTCTGGTAAGGTCTGTGGATGACAGCTGCCTTCACCTCCTTGTTCTTCAGGCTGTAGATGAGGGGGTTTAGCAGAGGGATCTATCTCATTCCCCCTTCTCTCTCATTCACTGCCCCCACACCATTTATCTAACACAACTTATTAGGTGGCTAGATGCACTAGAAATTGTGGACCAGAGCTACTGGACAGAGGTTCTGCTCTCAGGACACTTATAATTTCCAGGGGGTTATTCACCTCCACCCATTTCCTAGGATCCCGCAAGAAAAAGGTCTCTTCAGATGAATCCATCACTCATTCCTTCATTTATTCCTTAAGTTGTCCACAAATCGTTATTAAGGATTTTCTAAGTTCTACCTTAGGTGCTACTTTTTCTTAGAAATGAAGGTAAGAAGACACATACATACTTTGTTCTATTTCCTGCCACATTATTATGGATATGTAGTTCTTGCACAGGGATCTTTAGGGATGGGAATAGAAGGAGAGTTAGATTTTCCACGCCAAGATGGGACTTTCCTAGAATGCAGTGGGATATTTGCTGGTGACCTGATATATTGATTTTCACTTTGTGCATAGAGAAAGGTAAAGGAGGAAAGGGAAGAGGAAAAAGGGAAATGGTAGAGAGGACAATAAATATGAGGAAAGATCAATAGCTGTCAAAAAGGTCAATGATGCCCCGAGGATTTTCTTGTGCAGTGAGTGGGCCCCCTTGGATGATGTCACCTGCTCCGTTGTGGGGGTTTCCTCATATATCTTCATTAGGGACAGGGCAATAGAGGAAGAGAAGCTAAGTCTTCTGTTTTAGAAAATGATGAATGCTGAGATAGCTCAGTGGTGACAGTTCTTCCTGCCTTCATCTTCCTCCCATAACGTTTTCTCCTGGTGAAGTAGGGGAGTCTGGGTTAGAAGGTCAGCCTGGACTTCCTGGCCAGTGTCCTCTTAAGAGCTGCCTTCACCTCCTTGTTCTTCAGGCTGTAGATGAGGGGGTTTAGCAGAGGGGTCACCACACTGTACTGCAAGGATAGCACTTGCTCCAGGGTTGAGCCAGATGCTGGAGTCATATACCTTGTAGGGAATTGCACAAAAGAGCAAACTCAGCTCAGAACAATGGCCATAACACACTTGGCAGCAATGGTTCTTCTCATCCCTTCCAATTTTTCAAAAGGAGTCTGCAGTGCTGAGCCAGCTATTATTGGTGGTAGCACCTACAGATGACTGTTTGATCAATGAAGAGTCAGTCATTTGTTTTTGAGGGGGGGATGTACCAAGGACTGAACCCAGGGGCACTTGAACATTGAGCCACATCCCCAGCCCTATTTTGTATTTTATTTAGAGACAAGGTCTGAGTTGCTTAGTGCCTCACTGTTGTTGAAGCTGGTATTGAACTCGTGATCCTCCTGCATTAGCCTCCCAAGCTACTGGGAGAGTCAGTTATTTCTGAATTCAAATGCCTCTAAATATGGTGGATCCCAAACAGAAAGTTATTGGAGTTACCCAAGAGGATAAAAAGTTCTGCAGCATATCAAGGACCACAGGTTAGAATAGAATAAAATAATTCCATGCATTTCCATAGGAATTATTCTCTTCAAATCATATTGCTTAATAGTTATGATGATGAGATATGAGTTTTTCTTTTTTCCTTTATATGTGCAAACACACTATGTTCTAACTTTGTGGGACTGTTCCTTGTAAAACTGTATGTTTAGTTTAAATGCTGCCATCATATCCAACACTTATGGCTCTGAGAATTACCCTCACAGTCATGGCATATTACTTTTATAATGCTAAGTGGAACAGACATTTATTCTTTTAGTTGCATTTTCTTTGGTTTGGAAAAGAAACCAAGACTGGTAAATGAAGTTGGAGATAAAAATATGTTAAGCAAAAAGTATGATTACAAAATTTTAATTTTGGGAATACCCTGATTAATATCATTAGGGCTATTTCCCAAAGAATCATGGCTACTATTTTTTTTTTACTTTAAAAAAATTTTTTTAGTTGTCTATGGACCTTTATTTTTATTTACTTACATGCAGTGCTGAGAATTGAACCCAGTGTCTCAAACATGCTAGGCAAGTGCTCTACCACTGAACTATAATCCCAGCCCTATGTTTTGGAATTTTTTTAGTGCTAATCTGTTTTGTTTTTTGTTATTTCAAAATAGTTATACATAATATTGGGGTTCATTTTGATATGATTATATAAGCATGGAATATGATTTGTTCCAATTCAGTCTACAGTACTACTCCTTTCCTTGCTTCTTTCTTCCTCTACTCTACTTATTTTTCTTCTATGTATTTATCTATTTATATTTTTAAATTAGGGCTTTATGGATATACGTAAAAGTGAAATTCACTGTGGTATATTTATATATCTACATAGAAAAGTTTGGCCAGATTCATGCCATTATTTATTGTTATTTTTCAATGGTAACATTATTACTGGAATAAATAGAGTATACCAAGAATGTTACTTGTAGATTCTGGTATATATGGCTAAAAATGATATTCATTATACTCACTTTAAAAACTCTTCTAATTTATCCCTTCTAATATTTCTGTGAAGTTGGAAGGAGAAATCTTATTGTTCCTTTAAGGCATATGAAGAAACTGGGATCAAGGGAGATGAGATTTTGTCCTCAGGTTCAGGAGAACTCTCCTGAACTATTCCTTATCATCCATTTCCACCTTCTTACTTCTCTTCAAGTCACAGAAAGTGAGAAAAAAGTATTGAGGAATTTGTGAAAGTCCTTGTCCAGTTCCTTAGTAGAGAGAACAACATTATTTACTCTGTCTCTTGGAGAAGGAAGACTTGTTTATGTTTGAGAGAAGCATGGTATGAAAGAACATGAAACTTGGTTCAACTGGCTCCATAACTAGCTCGTTCTGGGACTATTTTGGGAAATTATCTGGTTACTTTCCAAACTCAAGTTCTTTACCTGAAAATAGAGTTTAATAATATCTCTTGTGGTATGATGCATGCTAAAATTGAACTTGACCATGTGAAGAATTGGTGTATAGTAGGTGCCAAAAAATAGTTATAAAATAAAAAGCTTTGAAGATGACATCTTCCAGCAGGAAAGGAAGATGCTATCTGTTTCAAGGATTCTGTGTTTTGTTTATTTATTTATTTTTGTTTAGTACTGAATGAAAATCTACTAAAGGTTCTGTAGTTTCCTTTTGATAACTCTCAAACCATAGGTTAATAGAAAAATCTTTTTCTAAAATAGAAAAATATTTAGTCTTTCTCTAAGCTCATTTTTTCAGAATAAACAATTGAGCCTCAGAAAGAAAATGGATTCTTTATAAACCACACAGCTAGTCCACAGCAGAACTAGAGCCCAAGCCTTCTGAATTCCTATATGATTCTTTTCCTGCCACCTTGCAATGCTCTGTTCTATAGATCAAGGGCATTTAGGGTAAGGAATAGGCCACATTTTACATTTAGGAAATATACTATGACATACCTGAATATTCCTGAACCATAAAAGATGGTGACCACAAGGAAATGAGAAGAGCAGGTGGAAAAGATCTTGCTTCGACCCATGGCTGAGTTGATCTCTAGGGCTGTCATGATGATTCGGCTGTAGGAACCCAGAAGTAGAACAAGGGTGCCAAAACCCAGGACTACCATGGTGGTCAGGATGGAGGCAATACTACTATAGGGGTCAGAACAGGCCAATAAGAGCAATGGGGGAAGCTCACAAGCAAAACTGTGGATGAGATTGGGGCCACAGAAGTGCTGCTGAGCTAGGAGGAGGGTGTAAATTAGGCTGGTACTTATTACTATCACCCAGGATGCACCTACCAGGCCAGTACATACTCTACTGTTCATAGCCACTGCATACAACAATGGGTGGCACACAGCCTGGAACCGGTCATAGGCCATGATAGAAAGGAGGCAGGCCTCAGTGGCCCCAGAAAATATGACCAGGGAAATCTGGGTGAAACACTCAAGAAAGGACACTGTTTTCCACTTAGAAAGAAGATTCTCCAGCAGTTTAGGCACAAGGATTGAGGAATAAAAAGCATCCAGGAAGGAGAGGTGTCTTAGAAAGAAATACATGGGGGTTTGGAGATGAGAATCAGTATTGATCACGAGCAGTATCAGCAGGTTCACCATGAGGGTCAAGAGGTAAATCACCAAGAACAGCACAAAGAGTGGTACCTGGATCTGAGGATTGTTGGATAGTCCCAGGAGAACAAACACAGTGACTATGGTCGAATTGTTAACTTCCATGGAGCATTAAGGGTCCATTTAGAGGGATGAAAACTGAAAAGAATGCTCAAATGGGCTATAAGTCTCAGGCATTATGAGCAAAGCTGCAGCGCTAACCTGGACAGATCGTGCAGCAGAGGCAGCCCTGCCATGTCAGACATTTTCAGCTCTTCCTAGCCCAGGGCAGTAATCTACTCTGGCCAAAGTGGAAAAGGTGTGGAGGAATGTTGAGAGCCACAGCCACAGCCAAAGGGGCCCCAGCAAACTTCCAGCTGCCAGCAGCTCCTACAGGAGTATTTTGGCAAGAAGGTCCATTATTATGGATACATTTATCTTATTCTCCTAACACTATTCTTACTAGGTATCCTGAGGCTGTAGGACAATTAATACTCAAAGGAATAAAAGCAGCAAAGGGAGTGTTTGGAATTTCTCCCAATAAAATTATTACTCCATATACTATGAATCAAATTGATGAGTTAGCTAATGAGTTAAATACTTGGGCAATAATCATGTGCAAATCTAATGTTTCATTTGATAACCACTTACCATCTAATCCTTTATTGTCTTTTTGGTCATTGCATCCTGTAATTTTTCCAAAAATGACAAGAAAAACACCTATCATGAATGCTCCAAATATATTCACTGATGGGTCAAATAATGGTACAGCAGCAGTAGTTACCCCTGATCAAACTTTTACATTTTTAGTACCCAAACAATCAGCTCAAAAGGTAGAGCTTAATGCAGTTTTACAAGCTTTTGTGATGTTTAAAGATTCTGTATTTAATTTATTTTCTGATAGTCAGTATGTAGTTAATGCTATAGTATCTCTTGAAGATGCTGGTAGGATTTTCCCTTCTTCTACTGTTTTCTCTTTGCTTTCCACTATACAAAGTCTAATCTGGGACAGAAAAGATCCATTCTTTATAGGACATATCAGGGCACATACAGGATTGCCTGGAGCCCTTAGTTTGGGCAATGATTTAGCAGATAAAACTACACATGACATACATATTTTCTCTACACTAGAAGAAGCTATAAATTTTCGTAAAAAGTTCCATGTCAATGCTAATACTTTACAAAAGCGTTTTAAAATAACTAAGGAACAAGCTAGACAAATAATAAAACAATGTCAAAATTGTGTGACCTTTTTACCACAAGTTAATCTTGGAGTCAATCCCAGAGGATTGATACCTAACCATATTTGGCAGATGGACGTCACACACTTGCCAGAATTTGGAAAATTAAAATATTTGCATGTTACAGTTGATACTTCTTCTGGATTTTTGATGGGCTCCCTTCATGCCGGAGAAAAAACTAAAGATGTTATAGCTCATTGCTTACAAAATTTTGCCACTGTGGGTGTTCCAAAACAGTTAAAAACAGATAATGCCCCTGGTTATACTTCTACCTCTTTTAAACAATTTTGCTCAACATTTGGCATTACTCATATAACAGGAATCCCATACAATCCACAGGGACAAGGCATAGTTGAAAGAGCTCATCAAACTATTAAAATGTACTTATTAAAGCAAAAAGAAGGAATTGAGAAGGGGTATATATTCCCCAAAGATAAACTTAAAATAACCCTTTTTACTCTAAACTTTTTAAATTTGGATTCATCAGGACTCGGTGCTGCGGAAAGGCATATGTGTCCAAAAAATGTGCATAAGCCCAAGGTACTTTGGAAGGATATTCTAACAGGACAATGGAAAGGTCCTGACCCAGTAATTGTCTGGAGTCGGGGGTCTGTTTGTGTGTTTCCACAGGGAGAACAGCAGCCGATTTGGATTCCAGAGAGATTAACCAAGGTCCTGACCCAGTGATTGTCTGGAGTCGGGGGTCTGTTTATGTGTTTCCACAGGGAGAACAGCAGCCGATTTGGATTCCAGAAAGATTAACTAAAGCGATTTCTACAGACCAAAAAGAAGATGATTTGGCTCAAATCCATAACAACTGATATCCAAAACTCCAGTTTGGCTATTCTTACATCTGCAACAGAACCAGGATGCTTTTTTCAATATCTATTTTATTATTGCCCTTTGCCATATCATGAAGTTCTATTTTGTTTTTTGAGCTCATACAGACCTAGGTTAATGTTTTGCTGATCAGTTCTATTTTTTGACTATAGAGTTTTTAAACATTGCAATGGAGATTTCACCTGTAAAAAGTTATAAGGCCTTTACTATAATGTTATGTGTTGTATGTATTATGTGTGCACACTTGTGTTTTGTGTTATATGTTTGAATGTATGTATGTCCATATATCATATATGATGAGCGCTCATGATAAAATGGATCCAAATATTTTTTTTCACGTGATTTATATGGTTTAATTTAAATTGGGTAAACAACTGTTGAGGATTGTTTTAATATGTAAACAAAAAAGAAGGTTAACAGATCTGTTTGTTTACTTTCACCTTTCCTTTTCATTATATTTAATAATTCTCTTAAAGATAATGTAAATTGTTAAGAAAATTGTTTTCTTTTAGTGCCTTCTGTAATGTTACATAATTTTTTCTTTAGCCATTATTGCCAGAATTCCTATCTTCATCCCAGTGCCGGTGAAGACAATGTAAATTGTTAAGAAAATTGTTTTCTTTTAGTGCCTTCTGTAATGTTACATAATTTTTTCTTTAGCCATTATTGCCAGAATTCCTATCTTCATCCCAGTGCTGGTGAAGTCAAAGATAAAACCAATCTACAGCTTCTACAATAGCCATCACTGAACTGCTTGCAGAACTTGCCTGGACACATTGTGAGCTCACCTGTATGCATTGTGAACTATCTGTTGGTACAGCGAATTGTGGTAGTGCTGGAGTATTTTTGCTGATGGTGTCACCGGTGGTACAATTTTTCAAAGGAGCCCTCAATTGGCTTAATGTCATGGCATTTTGCATCCTCCTCTACTAGTGATGGTCTAAAATTTGGGGGCCAACAGAGGTGAGGCAAAGAACCTCACCCCCCCACAGGTGCAAAGGCCTATCCACAAGTATGGCTGTATGCTGGACCGGTAGTCAGTGACGGGTATGATCCAATTGCAGTGGTACCAACCTAAGACAGGAGGCTGACGCCTAGAGGTCAGTTCATCCGATGACGGGTAAGGACCATATGTTGAATTGGACTGCCTAACAGGCACGGTCCCTAAGCCACATGCTTGTTGTTTAAACAGAGAGGGGGAGATGTTGAGAGCCACAGCCACAGCCAAAGGGGCCCCAGCAAACTTCCAGCTGCCAGCAAACTTCCAGCTGCTGGCTGATGATTGGCTCACAGCGGCCCCAGCAACATCTAGCTGATCTCTAGCTGATTGGCTCCTCGGCCCCAGCAACATCTAGCTGATTGGCTCCTCTGCGGTGATGCTCATTGGGCTGTTTCCCTGCCCTTTCAGACCACGGAGCTGCTCATTGGGGGACTTTTTTGGCTCCACCCACGTGACCCAGCCAATCGGCCTCAAGAGCAGGAGGATTGTGGGAGGTGGAGAGAAGCTTGTGTGGGAGAGAGAGGCTTGTGGAAAGCCGGTGGTGGCAGTTGAGGCTCTGAGGGTTTTTCCTGAGAGGCTGTTTTGTTTGGTGTGTGTGGTTCTAAAAATAAAGTTAGTTTCTTTTGACAAGTGGCTCCTGATTGTGCCCAGCCAGACTGCGGCAGAGGAAAAGTGCGGAGAATCAGACCTAGAAAGGAAAGAGAAGGATGACTCCAAATGGATGAGAAAAAAAGGGAGGATAGACTCAAGGATACCTAGAAGGCCATTCTTTGGTTCCAAAGGGAACTGAGGTCAAACCATCTGCCTGACAGACCATGATGGATTTTTGAATAGTAGAGATGGTGTGACACCTGATTATGGTGCAAGTCCTTTCTCTGTTCCTGAAAACTTGCTCATGAGTAAGTCACTAAAGTTTTTCATTTGAAAAATTGTTCTTTGAAAACTAGATAGTTTCCAAAGTTCATTCCACTTTAGAAATTCTAAAGATGGGGAATGCTCTTCTTGTGTGTCACTGGTACAAAAAAAAAAGAAAACCCCTCTTCTCTTCTGTGCCAACTCAGGCAGAAATGGCACAACATTGTGTTGGTTTCATAAAAGCCACACAGGAGGAAATCCTCCAAATGAAGGTAAGGGCTGTGTGCATCAGTTATTCCAAGGTCTTCCCATTCCAGGATTCTGTGAATGTATGATGTCCTATTTTCACTGTAATACTGGGGCTTAACCTAAGAGGTAACAAATATGGGACTATTCTCTGGATTGGTGCCAGGAACTGTGAATAGAGCCAAATCAGACTTAGACCAAGTTCTGTGCAGAGATCATGGCTCACTTAAGGGGGGGGGGAACAGATAAAGGAATACCTGGTAAATGAATAGTTACAAGATTTAGTCTAGACTAGATGAAGGTAAACTGTTCCCCTTATCTCACCTTGATGGATATAGTTATAAATGAGGATCTAATCTCTATTTATGACAAGAACACTCACAACTTCCCATATTGAGTAGTTTGAGGAGAAGATGGATTTGAATGGAATTTTTCTTCACCTGGACTCTCTTGGCCAACAACAGTTGACCTCAGTGGAAGATACCTATATGGCATCCTTTCCAACATGGGAACAAAAGCTACAATTATGATGAGTGTTCGATGGGCTTCCCTTGACTTTGTTCTTCCTTTAGAGGATGTAGGGGAGGATCTTCTGAGAAAGGAACTATTCCCACAGTCTTTCTGTCCAAAGGGAAGAATTTTGACTCTGTCTTCTAAATAACAATGGCCAGAGGGACTTGATCTGAGCCTTGGAGAATGAGGGAGGTCCCTGGAGAGACCCTTAAGCAAGAGGCCCTGCTCTGATTCTGAATGGGTTCTCTAGGGTCAACTACTTCTCCTTTGTATTACTCTCATTCCAGTGGGTTATATCATACAAGAGGGCTCTAGTGGCCAATAATTTATTTTTTAGTTCTACTATAAGTTTTAAAGGTTTTTAATTTTTTTTACAATATTATCAACTTAAACACTATTCCTGCTGAACACACATGTCAGCTTAACCTACT